CGTCGAGCAGGGTCGGAAAGCTGGATGCAATGTCCTAGCCTTGTCATGCATTCCAAATGCAAGCTTTTATGAGTTGCATAGCATTTACACGCACTTCGGCAAGGACCTCAAGCTTTGGTTCCGAGAGACCTTTGCGGAACCGGACGTCGTGATCGTCGATCTGGACCCGCTTTTGTGGCAGATGGAGTTGAATGACGTTTTGTGATGATAAAAACATCCCCGTACGCATTTCCTCTACAGATAGGGGTAGCTCGAGGCCCTTACAAAGGGGTCATTTTGTAACAAAGCACTTTTTGGCAGATGCCGAAACTTACACCCTCCCATTTTGTAGAGTCAAAATCGGCATCCAAGTTATGATCAAAAAAAATTAGAGAACATTTATATGAGACATGAGGACGTCAGGGTACCCTTTTTGTACAGGGCCAAAATCAAGAAAAACAGGGGGTCAGGGTACCCTTTTTGTACACGTTTGAGTGTTCGTTTCTTGGCGTCAGATTCTTTAGTCGGCTGAGTCAGATACAAATACATACTCCGAGGTGAAAACTGATCCTTCAATGTCCAGATTCCTGAGCAGTCCTTGTGTTTGTTTGCCGCGTTCATTTTTTAGGATGGGAAAAAGAGCTTTGGGATGCGCCATCTATAGAATCTACAAAAACGCTTGGTTTGGTCAAGGTGCAGCCTTAGTTTTCGTGATGTTTAATGTTCAGTATGTGGTGTTGAGCCATCTATGGCTATGCCGGTTACCCCCTGAGTTGCGCCAACAACTTTTTCAGCGGCGTACCCGGTGTACATAAAACAAATCCACTCTGCGTCCAATGGACTCGTCCCAGTACACGTGGTGCCAACTCTTCCTTCCGCTGACCAAAGAGCATTGAGAAACTCAGCCACGATTCATAAAATGAGGATGGACCAAAGATTTGTTTACACAATGACTGTCACCAATGTTTGTCTTTACAAAGTGGGCATGAACAGAGAATCATATTGGCATGTCACACAAAGTCGGCATGAACAAAGAATCATATTGGCATTTGAATGCATTTCACACTATTTCACAGGACAGCAAAGGTCAAGTTTAGAATGGATAATGTGAATTAGTCTCCAAATACCTGAGGTTCACATTTTGTAGAGATAGTTCAGGGCCATCCCCATTTTGTACTGTAAGCAAGATTTTTAGATGTAAGCACTGTTTAATATACTTTCCGTTAGCGCCGCAAGTTCATTAAATAAAAACAAAAAATCATATAGTTTCTGACATCGTCTATTAGAGTCCGATGTTCAACATATGCCATTGCACAGTACAATCGCCGCTCAAGTTTGGATTAAAAAAAGAACAGTCAGATGCGTGCGCACACAGTTTCTCTACAGAATGGTTCCGGAATGGTCAACAAATGGAGTCTTAAATCATGTCCTCGACCAGGTATTTGATACCATTTTGTAGAGAAATCACTTTGCTGAATGGCTGTTTTATGCACTTTTCAGCATAAGATAGTGATCTTCAGGCATAACCTTTTTGTACAAGCCCACTCTGGCCCATGCCATTTTGTATAAGCCCAATGCCCTTGGGTCAGGGCTTTTTGTAGACTGCAACCCTAGGTCCCTTACAAAACTGCGGTTGTCAACCCCTCCCCCCTAATGTAGACGGGGATATAAAAACCAATCGCGAGTTCTCAGCTGGTTTAACGCCAATTTTTACATCCTTCATCTGTCGGCCATTCTCACGCCCCATTTGCCCGGGATGAATGAAGCCAATCAGCGGAACGGAAAGAGAGACTTGAAGGTGCTAGACGCAAGTTTCAGCCCGTTCACGCCAGCCAGCGACGAATACAGACAAGCTGTCATTGATGTGATCCACCGAAGAGAGGAAAGCAAGAAGCGCATTGAGGCCGCCTCAAGGCCATTGACCGTCGAAGAGGTTCGCCGTGAGCAGCCAGATCTCGACGAGTTCATGGAAGAGGACGAAATCATGGAGCTTCCAATTGCTGTGGCCGTCAAGACAGAAGAGCCGATGGATGATGATGCTCCGCCAGTGACTATCGCCCGCGCAGCAGTGAAGGAGGAAAGTGAGGATGAAGAGGAGCCCGCACCGGAGTCAGCGCAGCCTTCGCCGGCTAGCCCAAAGGCACCGCCCTCAGCATCATCCGCTCCTAAGAAGGAGGGCACTCGCGCAGGACGAATCACCAAGGAGCAGTGGGAGGCAATGCTCATCGACGCCCAGTTCGAAGAGACCTACATCACCAACCACCACCTGAACGGCCAGGCCGAGTATCGGCACACCGAGGTGGAAGATGTGCATGGCAAAATCGTGCCTGGAGTGATAGTCGATGGCCATCCCTACGAGCTCATCCTCATCAGCGGCTGGGATTTTAGCCCTCCACCAAGGTGGTATCGTTTGCCGCACTGGCTGAAGAGCCACTTGACGAGGGCATCTGGTATCTTGCGAGGCAACATCACCACGAATGACTGGGATTCGGAGCATGACGAAGATAGGTTCCTCGACTTGAACCAGTTCGTCAGCGCACTCTTTGCCGAGTTGCCCGAAGCCCGCATGAAGGTGACGGACCTGATGCACATGGGAAAGCTCGACAACAAGAACAGGTTCGAGTTCCTCGCAATCGCCGGCCACCACAGACCACAGGGATCAACCAGACCTACTGGCCACTGAAGATAAGAGCAGCCACAGGCCACAACAACATGTTCATTCGTTCGGAGAATGACTTGTTCTTCAACGCCGACGTCATGTACGTCAGGCATCAGGGCGCCGGAAGAGACCTCTCCGACTTTCGCGGCGCCGGCGTGCCCGTCATGGAGAGCATTGAAGATGTCCCCGCCATGGCCTATCACAGGACGTTTCATGCTGCAATCAAGGGCATTCAGCAAGACGCCCTGCTTGTTGGCGGTGGAGCCCGGCGCAATTCCGGCAGAGCCCACATCTACCTGGCACGGAATCAGATCCGCCAGAACGAAGTGGTGCCGGGAAATCGGAGACTCAATCCGATCGAAGTTGTTGTTGCTCTGCGTGAGGCAGTAGCCGATGGCCTGATCTGCTTTACGACCAAGTCGGGTGCTATTTTGTCACCCTACAATATCTCGAGCGCATATATTGTCCACATCCGGGATACCGAGAAGGACATCATCCTCTGGTCGAGGTCCAATGCGACAAGAGCCATCCCAAAGGCGCCGCCAGCCTCCCGCGAGGGAGCGCCCACTACTGCACCAGCGGCAAGTCCTTCAGGAAGCACAGATGTCGTCATGGAACCTGCACCGACTCAAAAGAGGGAGCGCCCGGCAGTGGAAGAGCCAGAGGCTGAAGAAGACGTGGAGATCATTACCCCAGAGCCGCCTCAAGAAGCCCAGCGGGAAAACATCCCAACAGAGGAAATCATGTGTCCAGGATGCGGTGCAAACACGATTGTGTGTCCCGCATGCAACACGAACATCACTGGCGCATCTGAGGTGAAGCGTGGCATCCTCGCGAAGAGAAGGGAGCTGCTCAACAAGCTCGGCTACAAGTACCTTGATGCTGATACCATCGAGAGAATGGGTAGCCAGAGCAAGCAGTTCCGCGAGGAATCTGCCCGAGGTAATCGCAGCCCCAAAGGCGATTACATCGGAACTGCAAGACAGCAGTTAAAGAGAGCCATCGGCCTGGGATATACTTCGATGGCTGACCGCTATGAGAACGACGTGCAGTTCGTGGAACGGATGACCGAGCACAACATTACGTTGCTCGACATCCAGTTGCGAGACATAGTGGCACACGGTCATCTTCCTATGCCTCCACGCACCCGTGCTCAGGTTGATCTTGGAGTGGGAATGCGGACCGCAAATGACCTGGATTTTGCAAAATTAATGTACGTTGATGAAGATATCGCGGACATTACAAGCAGCGACCCAGGTCTCTTGGAACGCTTTGAACACTCTCATTGGGTGATCATCTGCAAGCGTGAGCTCTATTCCCTCAAGGAATTCCAGGATCTCTGCGATCACCGCAAGACCCGTGGCAAAGGCACCAACTTGTTGACCTTTACCTGCGTCATGGAGATCATCGAGACGCCGACCTTGAGAGAGCTCCACGAAACCATCGACAGCTCCCTTCCGGTTGCTCAACAGCTTGTGCAAAACAAGCGTGAACAGAGCGAACGGGCGGCTGAGAGGAATGCGGCCAAGGGTCGTGGCAAGGCAAGCCGAGCTCATGTCGCTGCCCCACGAACTCCGCCAAAAGCCGCGCCCAGCCAAAGGGTAGCCCCGGTCATCGAACCAGAAGGTGAAAGCTCACCGAGTGCTGGCTACAACGCGATTGGCCCAATCGACATTCGTCAGATGCCAATGGCAAAATTCCCGCCGAGTCCACCGACTACATTGCAGCGGCCACCTGCTCCGAAGACGCCACCGATTCCTTCACACCAGCGTCAACCACAACATCCAAGTCGGTGCCTGTGAGAGATGCAAGAGAGGGAGCTCTCCGCACAGCTCGCGCTGCTGCCCGAGAGTATCAGGATGGCGATCGCTGGGGGTACTACACCTACTACCAGGGGCAATGGTGGACGCGCGACCAGTATGGACGGTGGTCGACTGGAAGCTGGCGATCCTACTAAATACGAGCTGCATGCATGCATTCTAAGCATTTGCAATAGAGTGGTCTTTAAAAGAAGATCCACGCAGGCATCACAGCTTAGCCCGATCACAGCTGCTAATTCACGTGCCGCTTGTGAAAGCAGAGGGGGGTGTTGAAATACATCACCTAAAGCTAGGCTTTTACGCACCATGCCAATTCTTGGCTCAAGCACGCAGCTCATCGCGACAAAAAGGAGCGCAAGCAGTTGCAGCTTAGCGGAATTTGACTGTACTTTAGTGGTTGAGCCTGAAAATACACACACTCCCGGCTGAGAATTTTGAGAAAAATAATGAACACAAGCTTGTAATCCGCAACGAACATATGTGACATTCCGATATCCTACACTTCTGTCTAGCCAGGCAGATCGATTTTGGATTGACTCCAGGAGCTGAATCTTTGGTTTTTCTCTGCACCTGCCTTCCCTGCATCACCTTTGGCGCTTGCGGACGCCCTCGCAAGAGCTGAACATCCATCGCTGCGCTTCTTCACAGCAGTTCGACAACCGCAAAAGAAGGAGGCAAGGCCAAGCCGTGGGCCAAGTATCGTAGTTCATAGCAGCACTGTCAAGTTTGGCCTTGCCTTGCTGATGAAAGGAATTGAGCTTGCATTCGCATACAATATGCCTTTTTCCGGGCAGTCCTGTTGCCAGGATTTGCCACATGAAACCATGAAGCCAGTCCATATGACATGTTGAAAGAACCTGTCACAGCTTCCTTTGGGCAGGCCTTCCTTGTGTCTGTGGCCCTCTGCTTGCAGAGCCTTCGAGGGCGCTTTTCGTGGATGCGTATGACGGAGCCGGTGCTGGAACGCCTCAGCAACTTGGCATAGAGTTCATAATCCAGGGTCCCTTGTTGGAGCCTTCCAATGTTTCAGGTTGACAAGGGGTGAGGATGGATACAAGCTACAAACTCTGGAGAACCTTTTGTTGAAGATGTCACGCCGCCACAGCAACACATTCAGAATGCATTTTGTCCGGACCTGTCTCAGAATGCTTGAGAGACAATTTTTAATAAACTCAAGCCAAAAAAGACAACAAAAGCACACGGTGAGCCGGAATTTTTTTTTTAACCAATGATGGTGCTGAAAGATTTCTAATGCTCTCAAGTCCTGAGCAGCTTGTGAGGTCAAGACTTGCAACAAAGACTGTTCTTCGTGCAGAACCAGGGTCCAGTCATGGAGTTGCATGGCCTGATCTATTTGTTCACAATGTGAGCATGCTTGAACACTGGGGAACATCGGCTAACCAAAAGATGAGATTTTCCTGCTGAGGCTCTGCCCGAATGGGAAGGGACAGTCATTTGGGCGTAGTTTGCATGAAATTGTACTGTTTCAGTTGTACCGCACTTTGCCAATGCTTACGGTTACCTTGCCAAGTTTGTGGCTTTCTTCACGGCTGAAGAAGTACAACAACGAGGCGAGAATCTGGCTTGTCTGACCTCTGACTTCACTGCACAGTCGTGCAAGGGACTGCTTAAAGTTTGGTGTGGTCATGTGGTCTTTCCCAACAACCGCCAAGCTGCATGCACACGCACACGCACTCACACACAATCCGTTGTCGTTTTTCATCTCCGTTCCACGGCTGAACTGAACTTTAAAGGATCTTGGTGTTAAGGTGTTGTTACTGTTGGTTTTGTTTTAAGAGTCTTCATGGTCCTCTCTCTGGAACAACCGAGCTGTTAGTCCTGCTAGGCCTCCTCCCGGATCGCCGCCGTCTTTGCACAGCCAGGGGTGCCCAAGTTGGAGCCGTTGAAGGTGCGATTTCAAGTTTCAAGCTTCAGAATCCCGTGTGCGGGGTTTGTGAGAAGTGTCGCAGAGTATTTTGCCAGGCTTTGCTGTTGCCGTTCTTTCCGCAAACAGAGGATGGACCAGGCAGCCGTGCCATATCTATATCAGCTGCAGAGCAATCATGGGTGGGGTGTGTTTGTTCACGCTGTTCCACAAAAAAGGGGCTTATAAGCGGCTTATGCCTGCCCCTGATGCTCACGACTCCACGACCTGAACTAGGAGACCCCTAGTAGCGTCCTTGCTCCGTTCGTAGCGATGCCAGGAGCCCCTAGTAGCTTCTTGTTACTACTAGTAAGGCACCTGTTACTACTAGTAAGGCACTTGTTACTACTAG